TTTAAAAATATCTGCCATTTATTTGTAGACTCTCCTTATTTATAAAGAGCTTGGTTCTTTGTCTGGAATCAGTTTAGAATGAACATTTTTGTAATATTTTCTTATGTGTTGGTGGTGTGGCTCTGCAAACCAACTATTGTTTAATATGAAAGGATTTAGTGGAAAAATAAGTGTCACCATTCTGGCTGTGGACAGCCAGTGTGTAAAACCTAATTTTGGGGGGAAACTGTTTACTACAATGATTACTTTGAGATTCTGGAAATATTAGCTGCATCTACTGAAGTTTTTAGAGTTGTTGTTGCTATTTATCTGTTTAAGAAATATTAGACTGATTAATTGCATTGAGAATCTAGCTGTTGCCTCTGATTATTTGGATTATTTTCTTTTGTAAACTCAGATTGTCATTTTAGATGTAAGAGCAATTGTTTGTTTATTCAAAAAATGCTTATTGCATACCCACTATGTGCCAAACCCTTTCTAGGCATTGACAGCACCAAACAGAACAAAGTTCTTTTGCCCTCATGGCTTTTACGTTTTTGTTGGGGGGGATGTAGACAAACAAGAAAAGAAGTGAAATGAATGTGAGTAGCATGGGAGAAAACCAAATCAGGGGAGTGTGGTAGGGATGCTGGGAGCAGAATTGTTTCAGGTTTAAATAGAGTGATTAGAAAAGACTCAGCCAGGAGACATTTGAGCAGGGATCTGAAGATAGCAAGGGAGTGAGGCATGTGGAGATCATCTCTGGGAAAAGCATCTAGACAGAGAATAGCAAGTGTAAAGGGCCTGAGGCAGGAGTATGCCTAGCCTTTGTGTAAGGAATAGCAAAAAGGTCAATAGGAAATGAGGTCAGAAGTAATGGGGGCCAAATTATATAGGTTCTTTTATGCTATTTTAAAGACTTTGGCATTTACTATGAGACGAGAAGTCATTGTGAGATTTTTTGGCAAAAACGTTACATTATAATGGAAGATTTTCAGGATCACTCTGGCTGCTTTGATAAGGAAGGACTAAAATAGGGCAAGGTATAAGTTTAGGAAGCCATTTACTGAACTGGAAAAAATCTAAGTGAGAAGTGATAGTTACTGTTCTGCCCAAAATCTCTGTGTAGGTGATGAGAAATGGTCAAATACTGGGTATGTTTTGTAGATAGAAGCAGTAGTATTTGCTGACATGTCAGAGAGGGTAAGAACTTTAGTAATCAGTGAGAAGAGGAGAAACAAAGAAGGCTGAGAAAGAGTGGCCAGTGAGATAGGATGAAACCAATAGAACCCAGGAAAGTACTTGTTCCGGAAGCCAGGTGGAGTATATCCAAGCTTGATGAGTCATGCCAAATGTTGCAGATAGGTCAAGAAAGATGAGAACTGCCTGGCCTTTGGCTTTCACAGTGTGTAGGTAATTGGTGACCTTCAAGTTTCAGTGGTATAGTAGGGTCCCCAAGTCTATTAAGAGTATATTGAATTTGAATTGAAGAATACTTGAAGACAATTTGGACAATTCTTGTGACCTTTTGCTGAAAAGAGAATCAGAGAAATTGACCATAACAATGTGGGGCTTGTGGGGTTAAAACTTTTGTTCTTTTCTAATGATTGGAAATATATATGAAATATATTTATATACTTACACATACAATATATTTATTTATATACATTGGAAATTATTTGCATGTATTAAAAATATATATATACACATGCACATATATACCAATGGTTTTGTTTTATTATAAGGGGATTAGGAATTGATTTAAGAGACAGAAATGGAACTTACTAGAGCAATGTCCTTGAACAGTAGGGTCATAACATCTGCTATCAAAGTGGAAGAGTTAGACTTTGATGTGGTCACAGAAAGTTCAAGCACAGTGGAAGGATACAGATTTAGGTGAGTGGGTAAGTGTGGTTCTGGAAATTCTCCTCTGATTGGTTATATAGGAAGGCCATATTGCAGAGTCATTCAGATGTTATATGACTGGATTTTTTTCCTGTATGATGATCATCAGGTAATCTGCAGAGAGTCCTGAGAAGCCTTAGGAGGGTTATAGTCCTGCCTGTTAAATTTTTTTTTTTCTAGTTAACTTTCTGTTACTCTTTAGTCTGTCTAATTTGTATAAATACTTGCTAAGAGTTTCACAAAACCCTTTTGGGGCTGTCTGGAATTGTTTTTTTCTTACTTATCTTCAAGCCAAAGAGTGTAATTCAAAAGTTCTTAGAACGTACACAGTACAATTTTCATGTAAGGTAAAGAAAACTAACTTACAGACATAGTTAGGCCACAGAGGTGTAGCTAATTGTGCCAAGTCTGGAATCCAGGTCTATGGTGTTGTAATTTGTATAATTTAGTTTTGAAATTGAGCTTTCATACCTATGTGCATATACATTCAAACTCATCCCTTGGACAATATAACTAACTTATTGTTGGAGGCAACCAAAGCATGAAATAAAAAACATGTGAAATGTCTGGATTAAATAAAAACTCTGTCTAAATTGTGTTTTGTGTAAAAACTGATACCTAAATTATATTGCGTAATGCAATTAGAATGCTCTGAAACCATGTCAAAGCATTTGTCCTTTGCCGAATTTATATTATAATAAAGATTATAAAACAGATCAATTATATAATATTTAGATTTTTCTGGCACTGTAAGACCTCTCTGGATTGCATAGTATACCAGAATGGATTGAGAAAAACATTGGTGCTCTAGCTTACAGCTTCCATTTCTAACTGGTCTCCTCATGTTTCTGCTTCTGCTTCTCTATCTCAATACTTCGCTGTACCTGGTAATTCAAAACGGATAAAACCAAATAATCATCCAAAATACATAAAATTTCTATGAACTGTAAAGGGCAAATACCTGAGGAAGAAATGAGCAAAACATATAAATAGGCATTTCATAAAAGAGGAAACCTGAGTTAGCCAGTAAACCTGAAGAAATGCCCAGTATCATTAATCAGCAGGAAAATGCAAATTATCACCACAATTAGATGCCATTTTATATCTCAATTAAGAAGTTTGCATTACTAACTGTTAGAGAGGATGTGGATCAATATCAATTCCCTCTTGCTGGTGGGATTTAAATTACTGAACACACTTTGGGGAAAATAAAAGTCGGCATCCTGAGGAGAAATTGAACATATGTATGTTCCCCAGCTCCCAGGCACATGGGGCACAGGGAGAGGCCTTTAAGAACTTCCGTAACAGAAACTTTCATAATAACAAAAAAACCCAAAAAACAAAACCTGGGGGAAGATAAGATGATGCTGTTGTGAAGAGAGTGGATAATTCGCTTATGGTACATTAACAAAGGCAGAATAATTCAGTGAAAGTGGATGAATTACACCTATACACAACAACATGGATGAGTCTTGAATAAAAAAAAATTCCCAGAAGACGGGAGCCATTGAATATCATTTTTACATAATTCAAAAACAGAATGTAACACTGTTGTTGGGGGATGTGTGTGTGTGTGTGTGTGTGTATGTAATACTTTTTAAAAAGCAAATGAATGATAAACATAAAATACAGGATAGCTGTTTGAGGGGACAGAAGGATGGGAGGGGTGGGGCATGGGATAGGCAGGAGCAAATCAGCAAAACATAAACAGTACTTACATTCAGGGTCTTGCATTGGGTGGGAGGTACCTGGATGTTCATTCTATTATTTTGCTTTGAATTTAAAACATTTTACAAATAATTGTTGTACATAACAATATACTAAAAAACAGGGAAGGTTTAATCTGAAGTCACAATTTAGGACACATCACTTCTACCGACTGCCTCACTGCCACTTGAATTCCTAATGTCACTGTATTTCACTAGAAGTATCTTGTTTTAACGTCTTCTATTTCATTGTATGAACCACAATAAAAAACAATTAAAATTTTTTTTCTCTTGGAATAAAAAAAAGGTCTTCTATCTGATTAAGCCTGTGTCTGCCATCTAGCAAGTCACTTAATAACAACTTTTGGATAAATAACTAAATGAATGATTTGAGAAAATAATTCAGGATTTTTCTGAGAAACCACCACCGAGGTAGATTTTTAATATCATTTACTTTTCCTTCCACTTGTAGCTGGGTTCTTACTCAGTAAGAAGTGAGATAGCAAAACTAAGTTATTGTTACATATGTTTTTGAATGATAATTGTATATTTGAAGGCAATATTACTGATTATGTTTGAACTATTGTAATAATATGATCAAAGAGTAACAAATATATGACAAAACATAGCTGCTTAAAAAATCAGATGTTGCTAAAAGATAAAGCTATTTTTAGACATAACATTTTAGAGTTAGAAGGTCTGTGGGAATTAGTTCAAGCTTCTCACTTTTGAATAAAGGAGCTTTGGGACCAAAGAAGTAGTTGATTAAGATATAGAACATGTTGAGAGCCAAATTAAGAGACCAGAAATAAGATCTCATGATTCATATAATAGTGTTTTCATATTGAAATGCTGAGTGGTAAATAAAAGAAACATTTAAATATCCAATATAGAACATGCTAATAACTTGAGGTTGGGTATAAAATTGAGTATAAAAAAGAAGCAATGTTTTCTGATTTTAATTTAGAACAAACAGTTGAGCTCTGTACCACATTATCTTAAATACACCTGAGAAATAATGTTTTTTTTTCTTTTCTGCTCAGATCAAAAAGACACAAATTGATCTATGATGTGAAAATGAATACTGGACTAGAAGGTGGAAAAATTAGGTTGTGAACCTGTCTCTGCCACTAAATAATGGTTCTATCATTGATTCTTTGCAGAATTTTTCCAGGTCTCAGTGAGAAGAAGCTGAACAAGATGGTTTCTAGATACCGACTCTAAATGAGTCCATATTCTTTATTGATTTTGAATAGCATATTTTATCTATCTTAAAGTGTGTCGTGTGTTCCATATTAAACCATTGGCAACAAATAAGGAGATAGAGAATCAGTAGATAATGAGCAATTCATGATGCTAAGACATATTCTGAAAATAAACTGGGTTTTCTTTTCCTTTCTTTCGTCACAGGTATAAATACTTCTCCACATCTGCTTCAGGAAGAAAGTGCCTGCCGCTCCTGTTGTTTCTACGCAGGTTCATGCCAGCCCAGAGCAGTGAATCAGGTCAGTCTTAGGACTGTTTTGCCTGTTGAACAAGGGGCCAGGAACGAGAATCATGATAGTCTTTGCTGCATTGTTGCGTTGGAGCAAGACCACTGAACTGTGACTCAGAATTCTGAGCTGGGTTTCAATCCTTCTTTACCACTGATTTCTTAATCTTTCTTCATATTTTCATGGGAAGCCCATTTGAAGCTCCCACAATAGTATATAAGAATAAAGAAAGAATAAAGTATGCTTGGTGGAAAAATACATAAATTGCTTAGTATTATTCAGAAAACTTTAGTCTTTAACTTTAAACAGAAGTTTGTCACTCTTGTGACATATAGCTTTGTAATCAGAAAGTAGCCCCTCACCTTTATATAAAAAAAATACAACTTTTATCTTCATTTACTTCTTTTTTTCTTTTCATTTTTTTAAAGCAAAGGGGAGTTTGTTTTGTTTCCTTTCATTAAATCAATTACTTTTTGGTTCTATGTAGAGTTAATTCTTCAAGTGGTATCTGACTTTTCACTGTGGTGAGTTGTGCTATTCCTCATAAAGTCTCCCAACGCCTACCCTTATTTCTCTAAGAAAATTTGAAAGTGAGAAGTCATAGATTATTAAGATTACTTTAATTTTATCAGCCTTTCTGTGGCCACATTTTAAGAACTAACTTATTATTACTTGTTAGAAATTATCAGACATTTGTGAGGATATTTACTACACTAAATTGGTTAAAGGGAAATGTCCAATTACAAAGTTACTCTTACAGAATGTAGTGGCCAGTCATATATACTGTATCTACAAGCTAGCATTTTTCAATATTCACATTGATGAAGAAATGCTTGGCAAGTATTACTATGGATTCATTTTTGTAATCTTAATTTTGGAAGTTGTATTTCTGGAAGTGCGATTTGACCAAGTTGGCATTATCTGTATGAGTTAATCTAAGGTATATGTTCTGCATGGAGTAACATTTGTTTGGTAAACTTCAGTAAATTTTGTCCAATTTCAAAGTCATTGAGAAAAGATTGTTTTAAACAACTCCATTAGAATAGATTGAGCATATACTTCTGAAGCATCTGATTACATGACTGAATTTTATAAGAGGTTTCTTATAATTTTTTGTGCATTACATATGTATATATAAAATATATTTTAGTAGACCTGTGAAATACCTCATTATTAGAAATGATGAGACTTATTTTTAACTCTGACTAGGTTTGGAAGTTTAAATCATTTCATAACTCTATAGAAGTTAAGTAATAATGAATTCAATAGGATTTCTATGTGAAATCCCTTCTTGTTAGCGGGATGTAGTTTAATACAGAATTTTAAATTTAAGACTTCTCTTTGATACTTGTAGAGTGGACTAAGGAATGCATTCTGATATCTGAACAAATGGTAATTTTTTTATTACAAAACTCTGTTGCATTGATGATGTCAAAGAGGAAATTCTAACTTAATCCTTTAGGATCCTGTGTTACCAGGATACTGAACCGAGAATTTTGTTTATAATTTGCCTTCTTTTTATTATGAAAACTTTTGGGAATAGATAGACTTATGACTAGATTTTGGGCTTGGACTCAGTGAGGAAAATAGTTTTATATATTTCACGGTTTAGAAAAATATTACCCAGAAATTAAAGTCTATGTAAAATGTATTCTTTCCAAAAACATATTGAGAGAATTTAAAAAGTTCAGGGAAGTGAACTCAATACAATATAAAAAGTACACATATATGTAATGTGGGGCTGAAATTTGAAGTTCAAGAAGTTTTTATAATCAGAAGAAATAAAAGTTGAAAAGTAAAATAACAGTACTAATTAGAATATTGGGATTTTAAAATTTAACTCATTCTTCCTTTATTTCAAGAAGTGATACCTAAAGTTTGGGACTTAAATATAAATGAATTTAATCATACTTTATCTCTTGTGAAACTTTCTTTTTTTTCCTTACAGTTTTCATTTATTGACTATAGGTTGAGGTTTCTATAACTACATCATTGAATTGATTTCTGACTGAGTATCTCTTATTTGGCTCTTGTTTTGGGGACAGATTATGTGACCTTTATTGACAGTATGATAAAGAAATTATAAAACAAATACAAGAGTGAAAACCTGTTGTGTAATATGTGTTTTGGTTAAGGTCCCAAACTTAGTCACATTTCCAGGTTTATCATGGTGTCATTCTTACAGCTATTTGCCCTTGTACAAATTTTTTAATCTCTTTTCTTATTTTCTCACCTGTAAAATGGTTTATTAATAGTATTTAATAGAAGTATCCAAGGGTTAAATGAAGTAATGCTTGTTAACTGCTGAACACTGAGTCTGGCACGTAGTAAGTAGAAGTTAAATTTATGTCAGCTGTCATTGTTACAAGCATCAGCCTTAAGTCTGTTTTATTTCTGAATATTTGATGGTTAGAATATAAACAATTGATGTCCTGCTACTGATAATAGTAACTCTTAGTGTTTAGATGATTATACATTTTATTAGTATATAGCCTTTTTTTGGGGAGGGGGTTAATAGCATAGAGTTTGCATAAAAAAGGAGTTTAGAGCTACTGCTTGAATACTGACATAGAAAGCAGAGGAAAGTGGAAATGGAGGAAATAAATATGCTGTTTTTTGCTCTAAGTCTCAGGAGATACATAAGGTTTTTAATTGGGAACACTAGGATGTTGAATTTCATTTTTATCTTCTTTTTAAACTTTAACCACTAGCCACTTTCTTCTGTTTTTTTGTTTTGTTTTTGTTTTAACCTCGTGGAGAGGACTGGGAGAGGGGATGCCTTTTCATAGTTGTGTAAAACATGTCACCTTGGTCTGTGTTCCCATGGTAGGATTGTCTCTTGCACTCGGTTTTATGAATGAAGCCCTCTACTGCAGGGTACCTTGAAGGGTAGTCATCTGAGATGACTGTGGCCACAGCGTAGCATCCCAAGAAAACAAAACTCTCTTTAGAAAAAGGACCTATGCCTGAGTCTGGCGAAATAGAGAATTTAGAAGGAAGTCTCCTACTCATGTACATTTGGCTCCTAATTTGGTGATACATCAGCTTTACCTTTGCCTGGTATGTTTTTTGGTGCTTTATATAAATGGAGAAGGCTGCTGCTCTCCTTGAATGTTTGTAACATGAAAAGTGTTATACAACATAAATAAAGCAGAAAGAGGAGAAGAAATGTGTGGGTGGTGGTGGTGGATCTGAAATATATATAAGCTCCAAACTGTTTTATTATCTTTTTTGTGTGAAGTCAGGAAGGAACCTCAGAGAATCTAGGCCAGAATCATATTTTGAAAGTAAAGATACAGTATTTTTTGACTGAATGAAGGATTATTGTGAATATGTGTATTATCTGTATGCTGAAGTGTAGAATGTTTAAAAAAAATGAGTTCAAAATGTACTGGGAAGGAAGTACAGGTTCTTTAAAATTTTTTTTGCTTTTAAATTTTTTCCTCTTCATTTTGGATTTTCTTATAAACATTAGAATATTTTGGTTCTTTCCTCCTCCAAGTAGTTGAAGTTATTTTTAAGGGTCTGCCTGTGTTTCCTTCCACATAATTTTTTGACCTTTTCAGTTTGGTTTTTTGTTTTTGGTCTTACTACATGTTTTTAGGAAGCAGGTCATGTATCATGTGTCCATGATGCAAGAATTGTTTTTCTCTTTACTGTATCTCCCGCTCTTTGTAGCTGTATAATTGCCTGGTCCAAAAATACTTCAAAAAGCCCCATAAGAGTGAATTTTTATACTTACCTCTGAACTAGTCATGGTTGAAAATTCACTCTTTGCAATCAGAGTTAAGATTCAGTTTAGTTTTTAAGAATATGTTTAAATGAAAAAACAAACAAATGAAACTTTCAAAGATTTTTACCTTCTTCCAACTTCAGCAGATTGTCCTGATGCTTTGCTCTTCTGAGTGGGTGTTTGAGGACAGGGCTTCCTTTTATAGTCAGGGGTTGTTGAAGGAAAGCTTTTACAAAATTTATCAAAAGGCAAGCTATCCCTCATGAAGGAACACCTCTTAATTTATTGTTGCAGAGGCCCTGCTGTAGGAATCACCTTTTTTTTTTTTTTACTGTGAGCATATCTTCATCTTTTGTTTTTTGTATCATGCATTTTTATGTTTTTCATTTCTCAGGCCTGCTAAAGAATAGCTTTTTTAAGGAATTCAGTTTTACAATGTCAGAGATGTATGAAATCCACCTCCTTACCCTGAATAATGATAATAAAAATAATAGCTAACATTTACTGTTTCCTAGGTTTTTTAATATATTACATAATTTATTCTTCCTAACCCTATGAGATTGACTGTATTCTTTTTTTTTTAGATTAAGGTATCATTGATACACACTCTTATGAAGGTTTCACATGAAAAACAATGTTGTTACTACATTCACCCATATTATTGAGTCCCCCCACCTCATGCCCCTGCAGTCACTGTCCATCAGTATAGTAAGATGCCACAGAGTCACTACTTGTCTTCTTGGTGCTATACTGTCTCCCCCATACCACGTGTACTAATCATAATACCCCTCAATCCCCTTCACCCTCCCTCTACCCCCACCCTCCCCTTTGGTAACCGTTAGTCTCTTCTTGGAGGTTGCAAGTCTTCTGCTGTTTTGTCCTTCAGTTTTGCTTCGTTGTTATACTCCACAAACTAGGAAAATCATTTGGTGTTTGAGATTGACTGTATTCTTATACTAATTTTATGATGTTAGAAACAGACATGAGAAATAACTTGTCCAAGGTCACAGAACAAGGAAACGACAGCCAGGATTCTAACCTAGGAGTCTGGCTCCAGGAAACAGGCATTCACCTGTTATGCTACACTACCTCTCTTACATACATGAAGAAACACACTACTTATTTCTTATCCCTAAAATAATATGAAGCATTCTTACTATATTTGAATTTATATTTGATGACAGTAGCCCCCCACAAATGATGTTCATTATGTTAAACATGGGCTTCAGATATTTTATTCTATTGCTGAAAAAAGTAAGAAAGTATATACTAACAAAAA